TGTGATGAGTTGTATGAGCCCCTAATAAAATGATTTTTAAAAAAAGAAGTCGGGCCAGAGAGCTTCTTAGAGGCAAGGATGGCGAGGCTCAGTCTTACATGCTTTGTTCACGTCGTTAGGAGAGACGAGTCCCTGGAGAAGGTCATCATGCTTGGGAAAACAGAGAGGCCACAAGAGAGAGGAAGGACTGACCCCGTGACTGTCACAAGGGGCACAGAAGAACCTGAGGCTGGCACAGGCCCTGGGGTGGGTCGTTCTGTGGTGCCTGGGGTCATTATGGGTCGGAACCAACAGCAACAACATCATTATTCCCATTTTTTTGATGATAAAACTGAGGCACGAAGTACTTGCTCCGGTTACTACGTAAGGAAGGCTGAGATTCAAACCTAGGCTGGTCAAGTTTAGGACCTTCTACTCTGAACCACTACCTTTTTCATCTTCACAAGACATTCAGAAACACTGCATTTTTTACACATAACACACCTACACACAATGCACAGGAAACCAAAGTGTGAGGTGTTGTGTGGTTTGCAAAAAACCAAACACCCGAAAGTGCAGGTTACTTATGTAAAAATATGAAACATTAGAAAGCAAATGTTTTGAGAATGAAGAGGGCAACAAATGTACAAATGTGCTTGACATAATGGATGTATGCATGGATTGTGATAAGAGTTGTACAAGCCCCCAATAAAATTATTTTTAAAAAAGACCACATCAAAAAAAATAATGGAACATCTTATTTAGTTTTTTTTTGATTGTTCAATGATGATCACAAAGATATGTGTTCTATAAACTGCCTTTTAAAATTTCTATTTAATAAGGAGTAAACCCAGTATGGTATCAGAAAAACTAATGTTTCTGTTTTAGATACTGGAGAGGAAAAAAAGAAAAATAGACGTGCAAACCTAAGTGGAGCTATATTATCTTTAGAGTAACATAGCTATTGATTACATAAATAAGTTTGTTGTAAATTTTGATAAATGGACATGTGTATCTACAAAGACATTAAAGATTAAGTAGAGCACAGTTCTCTTTTCAAAACACAAAATATAGGTACCATATATATTTGAGTATAAGCCGACCCGAGTATCAGCCAAGGCACCTAACTTTACCTCAAAAACTGCATAAAATGTGCCGAAAAAACTCAGCTTATACTCGACTATGTATGGTAAATCATAGTACAAACAATAGGGTCCCAAATTTATTTGTCCTACCGCCCCCTTAAAAAAGATTTCTCAGTGCTCACCTGGCAATTAAAAACTTTTGTACTGTAGGCCATAGTTGGGGATAAAATGTACATAATTTGTAGTAGCAGCCCCCCTGGATTGTTCCATAGGCCCCCGTCGGGTGGTCTCACCCACTTTAGGAAACATTTAGATGAACAATTGTGAAACACACATCATTTGTAATTCTGTATTTCAAAATTTCAAATTTGTGGATATTCTTAAAGGACACACCCTCCCACAGTCGTCTCCCACAAAACCTACCCCCACTTTTGGTTCTGTGGTTGCCTAATCCTATGTCAGGGTTAATTACACATACTTAATTTAGAAATGGCAAAATATCAAGGGCTTAAAAAAGTTAGTGAAAAGAATTCCACTAGCTTCTAATTCTGTTTTTCTTTCCACTAGTCCCTAGATAGTCATTAAATTCCAAGAGACTCATATGAAGCTCCACTACTCACGTGTCAGTTTGTCCTACAGTGGTGGTTTGCGCACTGTTATGCTGGAAGCTTTGCCACAGGAAATTCAAACACCAGCCGAGTCACCCACGGTGAACAGGTTTTGGCGGGGCTTCCAGACTGAAAAACAGACCATCAAGAAAGAACAGGCTGCCCACTTGCGAGGCATTCACACTAGAACCATTACGAACAGCACCAGACCATTACCAGATAAGAGCGCCAGAGGACCAGCCCCTTAAGTTGGAAGGCATTCAAAATATGGCTGAGGAAGAGTTGTGTCCGCAAACAGAGTCGACCTTAATGACATGAAGTCAAGCTCCGGGGCCTTCATTTGCTGACGTGGCACAGTTCAAAACCACAAACGGCTGCAAATATTAATAATTAAAATGTGGAATGCACAAAGCATGACTCTAGGAAAATTGGTAGTCAGACAAAAAGAAATGGAATGCCTAACAGAGGATATCCTAGGTGTGAGTGAGCTGAAATGGACTGGGGTTGACCAGTGCGAATCAAGCATACAGTCTGTTATGCTGGACTGACCAATCGAAGAGGAATGGCAGACATCTCAGTGTTCTGCAAAAAGAACATTTCAAATCGTCTGCTGAAATAGAGACCAGTCCTCACAACCATTATTCAAATGAATGTCTCAAACGGAAACACAATGAAGAAGTGAAAGATGCCTGCCAACTTCCTCCATCTGTAATCGATGAAGCAGGCAATCCGTGCCTGTGCTACTGGTGCTTGGACAGAGAAAGAAAACTGGAAAAAATGGAGGAGGATCAATAGCTGAGCACTGTGGTTCTGGGGACAGAAACAATACTGGAGATCACATGAAAGGGTTTTGCAAGATCAACGACTTACATGGGACTAGTTTTGTGTTCACCAACATAAACAGCAACGCCACACAAGGACCTCAGCAGATGGAATAAAATGAACTACATCTGCAGAAAGCGGCGATGGCAAAGCTCGTTACCATCCGTCAGAACAAAGCCAGGGGCCGATTGCAGAAAACAGATCATCAGCTGAAGAAAATAAAGCCAAGTCCGCAGGAACCAAAATGAAACGCACCAGAATTTAGAGACTATTTCAAAAATGGTTTTGACACATTTAACTAATGACTCAACACCAGATGAGTTGGGGGGTGGCCTTATGAACATCAAACACAAAGGGAAAAGGTCACTAAAAAGACCGAAAAGACAAAAACGGAATGGATGTCAGAGTCTCGCTCTTCAACACAGAGTATCTAAAGCGAATGGCAGAAATGCTGAAGTAAAAGAACCGAACATTTCAAAGGGCAGCTCGAGAAGATAAAATATTAGGAGATATGCAAAGACCTAAAGTTAGAAACCAGAAGTGAAGAACACGCTCAGCTTGTCTCAAGCTGAAAGAGCTGAAGAACAAAAATACTTCAGGATGCTATGGGCAAAACCGGGAGCGACGTGGGAAGCAACAAGACAATGTAAGAAATGCAGTCACAGCACCAAAGAGAACGTGTCTACATTTAAGCATTTTAGAAGGTAGCGCATCGTATTAAGGACTGATGGTAACGAAGGAAGAGTCTAACGTGCACAGAAGACACCGGTGCAAAGCAAGTTTCCAGGATTCGATGGACTGCCAGTTGAGGTGTTTCAACAAATGGGTGCGATGCTGAAAGCATGTGCTTGTGTGTGGCAAGAGGTGAGGATGACAGCTTCCCAGCCAATCAACTCTAGGAGATCCATACTTGTGCCTGTTCCAGATGCGGGTGAGCCAACAGACCACCACACAATACTATTCGATGCTGGTATTATCAATCCAAGACAGACTGTCCACGGTACTTTCCATTGAAATACTTATTGTGCAACTTTCACATGCATATGAGGTGATTGGAAATACCATGGCTTGGAGGTCAGGCCCACCTTAGTTTTGCTGGAGCACATCAACAGGGAGCTGCTAGAAATTAGCTGGATTCAGAAGAGGACATGGAACGAGGGCTATCGTGGTGACGTCAGATGGAGCTCAGCTGAAAGCAGAGTACCACTGAGGTGTTCAATGTTTACCCTTGGTTTGTTGATTACACAAAATCACTTTACTGTGTGCATCATAACCAACTATAAACAACATGGAAACAAGTAGGGATCCCAGAATCCTCGGTTGTGCTCACGTGGAACTCATACACAGGGCAAGCGGCAGGTGTTCACACAAAAATGGGAAATACCAGATGGTTTACACAGGGAAAATGTGCATCATGATTACACTGTACTTATTCACTTATTTGATCTGCACATTGAGCAAATAGGTTGAGAGGCTGACCTGTCAGAAGAATGCCTTATCAGGATCAGAGACGCACTGAACGACCTGCAGGAGGCAGATGACAGACAACCTTGCTTGTTGAAAGCCAAGAATACTTGAAGCAATACTGAAGATAAATAACTACAGCCTTTCCCCTATATATTACACTGTACATAAATAAAAATCCTCACAATGGTACTAATAAACATCATGATAAATGCCGAAAATATTAAAGTTGGCAAGGATTTAATTATCCCTGAATCCACATTCAAGGCCTAGCAGTCAAGTAATGAAAAGACCCCTTGCAGTGGGCAATGGGCTGCAGACCTCTTTAAAGGGCGGAGGAACCAAGATGACCCCCTTTAGGACTAAGGTGTCCCTGACCCCAGCCATGGTAGTTTCCATCTTCTACTGAGTATGCAGAGAAGCTGGACAATGCATCGAGCAGACGGATGATGAGATGATGTATTTAAATGAGGGTGTTCACAAAGACTCTTGAGAGTACCGTGGACTTCCAGAAGAACAAACACATGTGTCTTGGATGAAAAACAGTTTTAACTGTGCCTTAGAAGTGAGGGTGATGAGACGCTGTCTAACATCACATGCTTTGGAGATGTTCTCCGGAGGGACCAGCCCCTGAAGGGCATCATGCGGGTACAGGAGAAAGGCAGGAAAAGGAGGCAGGCCCTCAACAAGACGACTGACTCCGTGACTGTGGTGACGGTGACTGTGGTGACGGTGATGGTGGTGATGGTGCAGTGATTTGTTCTGTTGTACAGGGGCACCATGAGGAGGGACGGACTCGACAGTCCTTACTTAAGGTGGCAGTTAAAGTGCCAACCAAAATAAATGCTTTCCAGGGCCCAGGTGTGAAAGGTTAAAAAATAGTTTTTAAACGAGTTTAAATTTTTAGAAATATGCTGAGAAAAACCCATGTTTAATCTGCGCTTCAACAATGAAAATGACTAAATCCCCCACCCCCAAACAAAGAAAATGATGTTTCCATTCTCGCCATACTTTACGTCATAATATGTATTTTGTGCTACCATTAGATGTTATGTTAATTTTATTTTCATTACATAAATCGAGGACAAAACATACAATCAGGTCCAAATATATTACAAGGCATTTAGGGAGGTGAGTTTTGTTGCCAATCACCAGACAATTACTGGACGGGCCCAGGCCCGGTTAAAAGTGCTTTTTCAGGCTCCTCTCTGGTTTGGAGTCTTTTCTGGTTTTCACGATGTGCCCATAAAAGGGCTCCACACCTCCTGTCACGCAGGGCTAGCACTCCAGATGCTCCAAAAAATCATGTTCAACACTTTCTTCCAGCTGTTCCAAGACGCCTGGGTTCTCTGTGACAGGTTCCTCTAAGAACGGAGGGCCAGGGGGCTCAGCACAACGTTTACTTTGGGTTTTAAAGACACAATTTAGAGTCTTGAAGAACGGCATCAGCTGCCTCACGCTGGACACGGAATGCTGGCGCAGCAGAGGAAATTCAGTCTTCACAGTTATTTCATCGGAGCTGCTAATTTCCTGTAAGTACAAAGCCGTACAAAGAACAGGTTAACAAAGAGGGTAGGGATATAGTTTTATAAAGAGTCGTAGACACAGCAAAACCTAAGAGTTCCAAGCCTGCTCGAACTCCCTCAGACCACTGCCTAGGGAATGGGAACAGCCTAGCCCTCCGTGCCATGGAAAGTGGACCACTGCAGACGGAGCTGGGTTAAACTTGAACATATTCGCGCTGGGTTTCCCCTTTGACACACCTTTCATTTGTTCTAGTGCCTTCTGCCTTCTGGTTTCTTTTGGATTGAGGATTTTCTGTATTTTATCTTGTTGTCGTTGTCAGGGTTTTTGTATGATTTTCCTTATAGGACATCCAGGACAGGTAATCCAGAGAGACAGTAAGTGGACTAACAGTTCCTTAGGGCATCTTGGTGGCACGGTGGTGACACACTGGACTACTAGCTGTAAGACCGGCAGTGGGAAACCACCAGGCACTCCGCAGGAGAAAGACTGGGCTTTCTACTCCCATACCGAGTGACCGTCTTGACAACTCACGGGGCACTTCTACCCTGCCCAATGGGATCACTGTGAGCGTCGGCATTAGCTCGATGGCGGCACACTTGTTTCTTTAGTAGGGCTATGGCAGGGGAGGGCTGGCAGGTAATGAGCAGCAAATAATCCAGGGCTCAAGAATGAAGAAAATGTCCTGACACTGATTGCGGTGATGACTGGACAACTCTTTTTAATATACTGAAACCCACTGAATTATGTGGAATGTGAATTAAGTGACAATTTTATAAAAGAAGCTGTTTTTAAAAATCACGAAGAGGTCTGTTCTCTATGAAAATCCATGAAGAGCACTGGGCAAAGGGCCTGAACTCACATTCTAGGTCTGCAGTTCCCATTTCCCAGCAGGCGCTACCCTGAGCCCACCCCTACCCAGGGCTTGTCCTTCCTCCTGGACTAGTGTCATACAGGCACGTGGGGGACAAAAGCTACTTCCCCAAGACTGTGATGCCCACAAAGCTCCCCCCTTCTGGCCACTGGGGGCGGAAGCAGTGTGTGAGACACAAGAACGAGAAAAGTCATGGAACTTCTGACCCTCTCCCAGTTTTCAAACTTCAATAGGCAAAATGTTGAAAATGAATCTCTGATCATTTAAAATCGAGTGCCACATCTGCAAGGGGCTTCAAACATTCGTGGAAAGATGGAACGACAGACAAGGGAATCATGGGACCACCGTGCCAGCAGCAGCATGAGAGGTTGGAAAGGCAGGGCAGGGGGCTGGGAGCCCATGTGAAGGGGGCGGGCGGACAGGGAGGCCAGTGGAGAAGCCGGCTCCAGACTTGGAGTACGCCATCCCCTACGCGGTTTTGTTCAAGTGGAAAATGACAAAGTGCTGGAGGTTCCCCTGTGAGTCTCTTCACAAGACGAAATACCATCAAGTGCCTCCCTCCCTCCCTTCCTGCGTAGCCCTTCTTTCTTCTCCTACTCCCCACCCTGGGCATCATTTTAAAAAAGGAACAAGTTTACCCCATATTTTAACTTTAGGAGGTCTAGAATCCGGACAGTGTGAGGTTTGCATTCTTGGTGACTCTCCTGGAGATCTGATAGGAAGGCAGGACCCTCTGTGTCCACCTCGGGAACGAATGCCCACCTATAACTGGAGGAAAAGACTGGAGGTCAGGAGGGCTCGCCGCTCGCTTTTCTTAACCGCTTCATGGAGACACAGTTCACAGACCACATGATTCACCCATTTAAAATGTACTGTCCAGGAGCTTTTAGTGTATTCAGCACAATTCCAGAATACGTTCATTAACCCCACAAGAGTCATTTCCCTTTGCTAGAAGCCCCTTCATCCCCTCAACCCCCCAGCCTTAGGCCATCACTAATCAGCTCTGTCTCTGTAGATGTGAACATTCTACATAACTTACATAAATGGAATCATGGAACAAGTGGTCCTTTGTGACTAGTTTCTTTAGCTTAGCAGCCACAGGTTTCCAAGGCTCATCCACGTGGGGTCAGTTCTTCATTCCTTTTATGGCTGAATATTATTCCACTACAGGCACGCGCATTTTATTTACTGTATTTTCCACATATAATGAGCCCAAATAAATAACCCAGGCGCACAAACACATACCATGCACAGTGCATCTAGGAAACGGCGTGCAAAGAGATTGTGTGGCTTGCAGAGAGCTGTCGCCTGTAACATGCATGTTGTTTGCATAAAATATGGTGTCCATCCCCTTATACAGAAGGGTCTCGGGGAGGAGACAAGCCAGTCAGGGTGCAGGGTAGCAACGATGAAACATATAACTTTCCTCTAGTTCTTAAATGCTTCCTAGCCCCCACTATCGTGATCCCAATTCTGTCTTACAAATCCGGTTAGCCCAGAGGATGTACACTGGTACAGATAGGAACTGGAAACACAGGGAATCCAGGGCGGATGATCCCTTCAGGACCAGTGGTGAGAGTGGCGATACCAGGAGGGTGCAGGGAAGGTGGGGTAGAAAGGGGGAACCGATTACAAGGATCTACATATAACCCCCTCCCTGGGGGATGGACAACAGTATATGGGGTGAAGGGAGGTGTTGGACAGTGTAAGATATGACAAGATAATAATAATTTATAAATTACCAAGGGTTCATGAGGGAGGGGGGAGGAGGAGGGAGGGGGAAAATGAGGAGCTGATACCAAGGGCTCAAGTAGAAAGAAAATGTTTTGAGAATGATGATGGCAACAAATGTACAAATGTACTTGATACAATGGATGGATGTATGGATGGTGATAAGAGTTGTACGAGCCCCCAATAAAATGATTAAAAATATATATATGGTGTCCAGGGTTCAGGTGATGGGCATTTGGGTTGTCTCTACTTTTTGGCTTTTATGAACAGTGCTGCTGGGCACCTGACATTCATAAAAACACACTTCTCCCCCTCAGTGTTGCCACACGATCAGTCTCTAGATGGGCCGGGGCAGAAAGAGGCTGAGAAGAGCGGCCTCTGGGGCCAGGCATGGAATGAACTGGATGAGCAGCTGTGCTCAGCCCACAGGAATGGCAGCCTCTGGGGCCAAAGCGAATTAGAGAGCAGCACGCTCCATTTCAAGGCATTCATATCTAATTAAAAAAAAATTGGAGAGGGAGAAAAAGGGAAAAAAACAACAACATAAATCCAAGCAGATCTACCAGCAGGTGACCCCTGCTTTACAGACATTCAGTGGAGCAACCTCCCTACATCCCCTCCAAAACAAACCATATATATATATAAGCTTGGGGCCCGGCCTGCCTGCGGCATCTCAGACCGCACATGGGAGCACCCGTGGGCGAAAGAGAGGCCACTGACTCGTGCAAAAGGCCTCCAGGCTTTACCTGACTCACATTTGAAATAATGGCATTTTATCCGGCGGGAAAGAGAGAGCCGTGTCCAGGAATTTGCAAGCTGAGAAATACAAGGCGAGTTCACTGTGGGCTATCTCTCCCTTTGAAGGTCCATTTCCATCGGGGACGGAAGCTTTTGCTCTGCTTGTTTTGCTGCTGTTTCTGTAAATTGGTAAAGAAAGGGGCCCGTGTTATAAATACGTTCGCATCTGCTAGAGCCTGATCCCTTGTGAAATGTGCATAGGAAGTTCCTTTAAAATAAAACAAAATGCTGGTGCCATCGCAAGCCTTTCAATATCGCACTTGCCACCGGACAAAGTGATGCGATAAACGCTTGTCGGTTAATCTCCAGCACCTTTCACACATGGGCCCAGATGTTGGTACTACTCACCTCAGTGAGTCATCTTCCTCTTTCAGATCTTCCTGAAGCTGCGTGAACGTCTGAATCTATAAGAAAATCAAACACGTATTCAAGTGATTATCTGGCAGAGATAAGACAGGCAAACGTTAGGATACTGATGCTTAAAGTGTCCCTGACCAACTGCTTTCTCGGGAGGAGACCAGAAGAGATGGATGGGCCCTGTCACCATCACTGACCCGTTTTGATCAGAGGGTATTGCAGAATCTTGATCAGAAGGAGGGGGGACTGTGGAACAGAACACAAATGATCGTGGAATGTGGACTTTCTGGAGCACTTGTAACTCCTGCCACCAGAGTCTTTAGGTCTCTAGAGTCGTACATAAAAATACCTCCTGAGGCTTCTTTTTCCAGCTGGATAGCTTTATTCTTTTTTTTTTTTTTTTTTAACATTTTATTAGGGGCTCATACAATTGTTATCCCAATCCACACACA